CCCCCCCCCCCCCCCCCCGCCCCCCACACACACCCCTCATGGCAGTTAGCACAGTCTCTCTTCCTTTCACCTGTTAACACAAGACACATTATCGGAGTCTCTCTGTTCTACCTGAAGGTGGAGTTTTATTCAGTGACAACTGGACAGTCAGTTGAACTGTCAGATAGTTGAAAATTGGTTAAATTAGTGCTGCTTAAAAAGCTCTTTGGGAGCCGGGTGCCAGTGGCTCACACCTGTCATCTTAGCTACACAGGAGGCTGAGATCTGAGGATCATGGTCCAAAGCCAGCCAGGGCAGAAAATTTCCCATGAGACTCTTATCTCCAACTAACCATCAGAAAACTGAAAGTGGCACTGTGGCTCAAGAAGTAGAGAGCTCCCATTGAGCTGAAGAGCTGAGAGAGAGCACTCAGGCCCAGAGTTCAGGCCCCACAACCAACCAACCAAAAAAAAAAAAAAAGCTCATTGGGAATGCATTTTAAAAAGGACAAAATTTTCATCCCTTTTTTTCCTTGTTTATATAACAAACATAAATTGAACAAACATTTTAGGTACAGAATATCTTCTTGAGACTTCCAGATGGAGAATTAACGGCTCGCTTCTTCCTCTGCAGGTGTTACAGGAGGCATTTAGTCGCTGTGTGGCTGTCTTGAATCGCTCTAGTAAACCAACTGACATGTCAGTACAGGTGAGACTCAGCCCTGTGACTCTAAAAGGTTATGCTAGGCTAGTGATTCGAGTACAGCAGACTTGAGCCTCAAATGGAATTCATGAAGACTTGACTTACTGCCCCACCCTCAGCTGATCTGACTTTCTAGTCAAGCAGGTCTATGGTTGGGACCCAGGAGGAACTGAGGCTGCTGCCCTGTGCATCCACTTTGAATCTATCTTCTCAGAGCAGAGAGAACCCTTATGTCTTGGTCAGACATCTGTCATTCTGTTTCACACTTTTGTCATTTGTGGTTTTACATAGCTTCTTCCCCCTTCCTCAATTAACTTCCCTGTCTTACCTCCCCACTCTGATTATTATAAATGTCTTTTTCTTAATTAAAAAAGGTTCTTCGATAGAAAATTTATATTTGAAATTGTAGAACATGTATTTTTATGTGATGTTTTTTGTTGTTGGTTTGAGAAATTTAGAATATAGTTGAGTATTGGCTTGTGGGTTTTATCCTCTGTTTTGAAGAATTGGGGAATTCATGTGAATAAGCTGAACAAAAGCACCGTAATCAAGAGTCCAGGAAAATTCCTGTACAAAGGTTCAGAGAGTTAATATGGGAGGTTTTGAGAAAATATTAGTGAAAGAATAGAAATGCTCTATTTAATTTTTCATATACATCATTACTCTCAAATATCTGCTGATTTGATCTCCACTGTTTTAAGTAACGAATGCATCTGTGACCTGACTGCTTTCTCCCTGTCTTCTGCGCTGGCCACAGGTGTGTGGACACATAAGCAAATGCTATAGCGTGGCTGCTCAGTTTGAAGAGTGCCGAGAGAAGATCACAGAGATGCCCGGCATCATCAAGGATCTCTGCCGGGTGCTCTATTTTGGCAAGGTAAAAATTCGTGTTTGTCCTTCCCATGTCCAGTCAGCAATGGCTTTTCTTGTCACGTAGCCAGACCTCCCAAGTTATCACTAGCTGTGTACCCACAAGTGTTTCTGAGCGAATTATTTGGAGCTGTGTCGGAAAGAACAGGATGTGGAGGTATTCATCTTCGAGGCATCTAGGGCGATGGAGATGTCTCCTGCACCCTTCGCTCCTTGATCTCCTTAGAAATATTTAGTGAGAATCCAAATTCTGGTAAGATAAAGTGAAGTCCTATGCCATTGTGCAGGATGTCACTTTAAGATCCCTGGCGATTTGTTACTACCACGGTGTGCCTGAGCACTCTTTCTAGAAAAATCAAAAATCTTAGACACAAAATAGGGAAGGCCATATTCCCGGTCCTGCTAGACTTAGTAGTTCTGGAATTTTGTCCTAAGTTCACTTGGTATGATACACCTTAAATAATACACAATTGGCACTTAATTTGGAATTGAAAATGTAAGAAGTAACTGTTTTTACAGGATCAGATAGCTACTTTCCAAGCACTAACAGCCAGTTTCCCCTAGGAGCTTCTGTTTATGCCCTGGAAGGTAATTCTTACATTCTCCTTCAGAGTATTCCGCGTGTGGCTGCCCTCGGGGTAGAATGTGTCAGTTCTTTTGCTGTGGATTTCTGGCTCCAGACACACCTATTTCAGGCCGGAATTTTGTGGCACCTGCTCGGTTATCTGTTTAACTATGACTACACGCTAGAGGAGAGCGGCATTCAGAAGAGTGAAGAAACAAACCAGCAGGTGACCTGTCATTCACTGCATTGATAGTGAATTTGCGCCCAAGCCCATTAGGTTGATACTAGCTTTATGGGAAGCAAAGTATGAGCTGTTGAGGGGGAGATAAGCTGTTTACCAAGATGACTGCTTCAGAACTGGGACTTACAGGCTGGTCTTAGACTCATCATGGAGGCCAAAGTTAGCCTTGAACTCTTCATCTTCCTGCCTCACCCTCCCAAGTGCCTGACTAAAGCAGTGTATCTTAACCACTTGTTCTTGAAAGATTCAAGAGAGAAGAATTTGCAAGAGCATATGGTGGTGACATAATGTAATATATTCTTCATGTCTCAGACTCAACTTTATGATTTGTTGTGATTGTTTGTATAATAGGAAAAAGAATGCATCAGAGTATTAGAAATAGCTCCAGCAAGAACTTGAGTAGTTTTCTGCCTTCTCTCTCCTTTCTGATCAGTTGTTACTTGTTGCTCATGTTGTCAGCATGTGCCCTTAGCAGACAAAAAGTCTACCTTCCTCTCCTTACTCCTATAGGGATTCTGTAAGATAAGGCCTGGGTATGACTCCCTATATTCTGGTGATCTTTCCTATAAATATCTTCTCTTCCTTCTCCTCTCCTTCCCCTCTCCCTTCTCTTACTCCCTCCCCCCTCTTTCCTCCCCCCCTCTCCTCCCCCTCCTTCTCCCTCATCCCTACTTCTTGCCAGTCCTAGGGCTTGAACTAAGGGAGCCTAGGCGTTGTCCCTGAGCTTCTTTGTGCTCAAGGCTAGCACTCTACCACCTGAGCCACAGCACCACTTGTGGCTTTTTCTGTGTATGTGGTACTGTGGAATCGAACCCAGGGCTTCACTCATGCTACGCGAGCACTCTTACCACTGAACCACATTCTCAGCCTGAAATAAACTTCTAATGTATAAGCCAATACTGGTGTTGGGACTCCTGTACCCTATTTCTTTCTTTCTTTCTTTTCTTTCTTTCTTTCTTTTTTTCTTTTGTCTTAGAACTCTTTTCATACAGTTTTGCTTCCATTGATTTATTGTTACCTATATAAGATACATCTCTAATGTCCTGATTCTTTTTTAATAACAGGAAGTGGCCAACAGTCTTGCAAAACTGAGTGTACATGCTCTCAGTCGCCTTGGAGGGTACTTGCCTGAAGACCAAGCAACCCCAGAAAACCCAACTGTAAGAAAAAGTTTAGCTGGCATGCTGACACCCTATATTGCTAGAAAGCTCGCTGTGGTCAGTGCCACCGAGGTATGTACTGCAGAATCAGCCTGGTTTTTGATGACCACCACTGTGTGATCCTTTGGAAGTCTTAGCCACGAAATTCTGTTTATTCTGCATAGATGGTAGTGATGACAGCTCTTCAAATCTAGTCCCTGTAAACACACTTCCTGTTTCTCGGGGGTGGAGCCTCCCATAATTCTTACCACCCTTGAGTCCCAAGACACAGAACAAGGAGAATGAGCTTGGAATGGTGTTTCACAGTGGGGAGAGTACAGAAGACAGTGGACCAAGTCTGTGTCTATCTGCGCTCTTCTTAAAGGCTGTAGATTATCCCAGTTCAAGTTGAAATGTTGAAAGTAAACACACACACATGCACGCAGAGATGTCTTCTAAAAAATAAATATGGTCTTAGCAGATCTTTCAGCCTTTTTGTCCTCTTTTATGAGAATCATTGACAAAAACCAGTTTGACTTATAGCACTAAAAATTATATAATCTACAAACGGGACACTATGTACCCACTAAGGAAATTAGAGTGGGCCCAGGGGACTGTATCAAATGTTAGCCTTAGTTACCTTTGAAAGGCAGAATAATAGACTGCTTTCTCGTGTTTCCCTCTCATGATCACCTCTTACTTTTATAAGGGAAAAGGCCTCAGGTTTCCAGATTTACAGGATCTTGAGAACTTTGGCCACCTATTTGCTTTTTTAATCCTGTACCTGAGTCTGTGTTCTTGTGCAGACCATGTTTTCCAGTAGCCCGAGGAGAGGTCTAGAGTCAGGAATCTAGCTCTGGTCTGCTTGGACTTTGTGCTCACCACTTTTGCTGACTGAGAACATTCCCTCTTGAAATACCTGCAAGTTAGCAAATAGCTCCTGAAAAGTTTTGAGTCATTTAAAATCAAATCTTGTACAAGTTCTGCCTGAACTTAATAAGCCATTTATTTTTTTAAACTACTAGGTCTTCAAGTTGTATTTTTCCTAACCTTGTAGTTTTTAAGTTATTTTGCTCTGCTGGTTATTAACCTCTTGGATACAAGATCAGGTGGCTTTGTAGCAATGTACTGTCTCTGCTTTCCTCCCCAATGTACCTGAAAATCTCTATGGAACATGGGAAGATTTTCCTCAGACATTGAAGCATCTGTCATAGTGTTAGCCTGTCTTTGAGGACAGCCAAAGAAAGGAGGGCATCATCTCTGCCCCTAGAACTCTGGCCTGTGGCCATGAAAGTGGGAACCAAATTTCCTCTGTAAATCTCACATTAACGTGTGTGTGTGTGTGTGTGTGTGTGTGTGTGTCAGGAGGTATGCCTCGCAGAGACTTAGATTTTGTTTTCAGCTATATGTGTGTAATAAAGACACTGTGGCAGGATTCTTAGTATTTACAGTGTTTCTTAAGTACTTGGAACATTTGAGTTTTCTCCATGACAGAACAGAATCAAGATGGTTGAAATCGGACTCAAATTGGAATGCCAGTTTTGCTTTTTCTGAGTTATGAGACCTGTGGCAAGTGATGTGGTTTCTGCAGGTGCAGAATGGATGATGTCAGCACCCCTGTGAGAACAACTGAGGTCCTTAATACAGTCCATCATGCCTGAGAGGCACCATTACAGTGTGTGCTGTGCACTGAATGTACAGGGAAGCCTGGCTCACTGTTTCCCCGAAGGCTACAACAGTAATATTCTGTCTCCTAGATTTTGAAGATGCTGAACAGCAACACAGACAACCCCTATTTGATATGGAACAATTCCACAAGAGCAGAACTGCTGGAGTTTCTTGAATCACAACAAGAAAGCATGATCAAGAAAGTATGTTCACATTGGACAAATTATTGAATAATTTATTCTTGTTGCCACAGCTTTCTTATTTTAATCAGTTTTATGCCCAGAGTTTTTTTTTTTTTTGTCAGTTGTGGGGCTTGAACTCGGCTTGGGTGCTGACCCTGCGCTCTTCAGCTCAAGGCAAGCGATCTACTGCCTGAGCCACAGCGCCACTTCCGGTTTTCTAGTGGTTTATTAAAGATAAGAGTCTCACAGACTTTCCTGCCTGGGCTGGCTTTGAACCATGATCTTCAGATCATAGCCTCCTAAGTAGCTAGGATTACAGGCGTGAGCCACCGGCACCTGGCTTTATTTTAGTTCTTTACTTGAGCTTCTATAGTAAGTCACACTTGCTTTCCAGCCCCAGAATGGAAATCTTCTCCTGTCCTGCCACCTTCTGGTGGGCAGGGTGTAAACAAAGAAAGACATAATTGTGAATTTATAAGGAGGGAAGGGGAGAAAGCCTGGATAGCCCATCTATTAGATGGGTAAATACTGATGACTTAAAGAAAATCGTGTTTGGCACTTTGGAACTTATTAGAGCAGTTATAACTGTCCCATGCTGAATTGTTGAGAATTTGTTTCATCTGATTTCCATGAGAGTGACTCTGGAGGTAGAAATATTTTGACGACTGCAGAGCTAAGGGGAGCAGTTCTCATGTGTGAGAGTAGACTTCATGAAGCGGCCTTTTTGTTTAGACTTCACAATTTATCTGCTGTTACATGTTATTTTAATACCACCTAAATACCTTGTGATTTCAACCTAAACCTTCCTGTAAACTGTTTTCTCCTGTTCTTTTTTTTTTTTTTTTTTGTCGGTCGTGGGGCTTGAACTCTGGGCCTGGGCGCTGTCCCTCAGCTCTTCAGCTCAAGGCTAGTGGTCTACCACTTGAGCTACAGCGCCACTTCCGGTTTTCTGGTGGCTTATTGGAGATAGGAGTCTCACAGTCTCTCCTGCCCGGGCTAGCTTTGAACCGCGATCCTCAGATCTCAGCCTCCTGAGTAGCTAGGATTACAGGCATGAGCCACCAGCACCCGGCTTCCTGTTCTTTCTTTAGCAGAAAGAATGGTCTTGATTTTTCAAGATAGCATCTTCTTTTTTTGTCCAGAGACTATTTACAAACCTTTAGAGTCATTGCATTACTTAACAACAACAACAATAACAAGAAACAGGTTTCTCAGCTCTGTCCTCCTGAAGTCTGCTAGACCAGCAGGCTGACGGTGGAGCTAGAAAAGCCCAGTGTTAGAGTTGCTCTAGTTCTAATTCCTGACCCACTTCTGTGAGCTTTAAAAATGAGTTACAATAGTTTTACTTAACGTTTAAGAGTATAATATTACAACAGTAATACCCTGTCTTCTAGAGTATAAATGTTAACATTGTCTTGAGTACTGTGATATATGCATGATACTGCATTTTTCCTGTTACATTACTAAACCTAATTGGCATAGGCTTATAAACTAGACATCAGTGGTTCCTAATCATATTTTTAACAGTCTGTTTACTTTTTTTTTTTTTTTTAACAGGGTGATTGTGACAAGACTTACGGGTCAGAATTTGTCTACAGTGATCATGCCAAAGAACTTATTGTGGGGGAGATTTTTGTTAGGGTGTACAATGAAACCCCTACTTTCCAACTAGAGGTACGCTCCCTGCTTTTTTCGTCTGATGTCTTTGACCCTCTGTTACCGGAAGCTACTATTATATTCATACTCCCTCTATATTTTGAGATACAATGCCGTTTATATAGAGTTTGGCAAAGAAACGGCTGGTCTGTTCTCTCTACCCTGCACCCATTAGAGTGTTCATAATACGATTTAATCATGCATATTCACTTGGCATGGCTTGAAGTTTTTCTCTTTTGCCGGGAAGGCTTCATTATAGATTACTAAAGAGGATATGTGTGCTTTTTAAATGTCCATCTGCTTGACTTAGGTGCCTAAAGCATTTGCCGCAAGTCTGTTGGATTACATTGGCTCTCAGGCCCAGTACCTGCACACGTTCATGGCCATCACACATGCTGCGAAGGTGGAGTCCGAGCAGCATGGAGACCGCCTGCCGAGAGTGGAGATGGCTTTGGAGGCACTCAGAAATGTCATCAAGTACAATCCAGGTGTGTGATCAAACCCAAGGACGGCAACCCCCGTGAAGTAGAAAAGCCTAGGCACTGTCCCTGAGCTTCTTTTTGCTCAAGGCCAGCATTCTGAGCCATGGGACCACTTCTAGCCTTTTCTGTTTCTGTGGTACTGAGGAATCAAACCCAGGGCTTCCTGCATGCTAGACAAACACTACCACGAAGCCACATTCCCAACCCTTTCTTTGCCTTTAAAGTTACACTGCTGCCTAAGCTCCTCCACTCACTCTGTGGAATAAATGTTTAGAAGATTATATCAGAGACATGATCAACAGCAGCAGTGCTTACCACTTTCTTTCTCTTTTTTATTCTCTCTCAATACTGGAGTTTGAACTTTGGGGCCTCACAGCCCAACTATATTGGTTCAATTTTGTAATTTAGGATATCGCCAAGACATTACAAACTAACCATTTATTCTTGCTCTCTAGGGTCTGAAAGTGAATGCATTGGGCACTTTAAGTTGATATTCTCCCTTCTCCGAGTCCATGGGGCTGGTCACGTGCAGCAGCTGGCATTAGAGGTGAGTGCCCGGTACTGAAGCATGCCGTGTTCCCTCCTACTTACTCCTCCCCATGTGAGAGTTTGCATCTTTTTTTTTTTTTTTTTTTCATTTTGCCTGTTAAGTCATAGAACTTTAAAAGTTAACTCTGATGAACAAACCTGGCACCTATCGCTGGCGGTGCATCTGCTTATGGTCACTGTCTGCCACGCATCAGTGCTCAGATTGTTTTGCATGATGCCACGCGTATAGGCTTCTTTGAGAAGCGTCAAGAGCCATAGGTCTTCAAGGATTTCCCCAGTTCCCTCTGCTGGCTGCACTCGGGGCTTTCACCCAGAGAACTGCTCCTTTCCCCTCATCTGCTCTTCCGTTCTTGGAGACTGGGCATGGAGTAAGCTTTCCAGTGAGGTTTGCAGACCCCTTGGTGTGCCGTTCACAGGCATTCCCTCGGAAAGCCAGCTGCTCCAAATCTATGGGTCTCAAGGGTCCCGGAGAAGTTGGTGACCCCTACTGTAGAAGAACAAAGTGTCTGTTCTTTTGGGATGCTGTTTGGGTTCAATTTTTCCTCTGACAGAAGTGACTCTTTGTCCAGGCAACCTAAAGGGACTAAAGGTCATTCTTCACATGATGCTTCCCATTGCAACACACGGAATTTATCACCAAGAAAACCAAATCCACCCCTGCAGGAATCATACAAGTATAGTTTTTGAATAATGTGTATGATGCATCTGAAGACTTTGATTTAGACTGAATGATTAATAGGACAGTAATAAACATAAGAGTTAGGTGAGAGGGCATCCCATGTGGAGGAAAAACACACATATTTCTGTATAGCTGAGAGATTATAGACATCTGTCTATTGCACTGGGTGTTAAAGACATTTGCTCTCTCTCTATAAAAGTAGAAGAAAGTCCCCATATTGAGGATCATTATCTCCTTGTTACCCTCTGCTACCAGTCTGTGATTGGAGTGCCATGGTTAGAAGCCATGGTTCCGGAATATGTTCTGGCAAATTCTATTTATTTATTTTTTTGTCTAAAGATCATTGTTGGTAGGGAATAAGAATGACTAATAGATAAGGTAAATGTGATCAAAGCACAATATATGCAGGTATGGACATACTATAGTGAACCCCCTTGGTATAGTTAGCATATTCATTGAGGAAAGGGTTAGTGTCAAAAAAAATCAAAGTTACCAAAGCCAATCTGTTAAAATTCCTTCTGTCATTGGCCTGCTTAAGCAAACACTGTACTACTTGAGCCTCAACCTGGCTCTTTTGTGTTTCCAGTAGGGTCTCATCTTTATGCAAGGGTCAACCTGTATCATAGTCGTCCTATTTATGCTTCCCGCATATCTAGGATGATAGTGTGCCCCACCAACACCTGGCTTTTTATTGGTTGAGATGAGGTCTAGTGCCCTTTTATCCAGTCAAACCACAGTCCTCCCAATCTTCTGAGTAGCTAGAATCTTAGGTATGACCCCGATGAGCCTGATGAAATTAAACTCTTATAAACGTTACTTTGTTTTTCACTTTTTTCATTTTTGAAAATTTTCTGACTTAGTCTGATTTAAATAGAAAATGGTATCTAAAAGTTTTAATGTGGCGATTAATTTTTAGGTTGTGAATATAGTGACATCTAACCAGGATTGTGTGAACAACATTGCAGAGTCGGTGGTTCTGTCCAATTTGTTGGCTCTCCTGCATTCATTGCCATCAAGTAGGTATATTCGTAAGAGGAATTTTAAAAACCGTAGCTTGACCGACCCTCAGAGGGGACTATGCAGAGCTCTAAAACCCTGGGCTGGGGAAATAAGCCAGGGCGTTCTCATTGTAACACAGCCACAATAACATCTGTCTTGTGGAGATTAACTGTGATACCCCATACAGAACATCTAGTTAAAGAGCTGGTGCTGAGCTGATTCTCAGTGAATGTCAGCTAACTGGTCCATGCATTCCTTGAAATGTCTTGTACTCTGCAGGTCGTCAGCTTGTTCTGGAAACTCTTTATGCTTTGGTGTCAAGTACAAAAATAATCAAAGAAGCAATGGCAAAGGGTAATGTATAGTCTTTTTCATCCAGTCATATGCAATATGATCAGGGTTTTTGTTGGTTCTTTTTGAGCTACTTTGTGCAGTCTGATGAGTTTGAAGAATGCTTTATAAGATTTTAAAAATTTAAATATCAGACTGCTGTTAGCTGGATATGGTAGCATGTCTATAACCCCAGCTACTTGAGAGATATTGAGGCAGTAAGCTCATTTGTGCCTGGGAGTTCAAGGCCAGCGTAGGCAACATAGTGAGTCCCTGTGTCCATTTTTAATAAAAAGGAAAAGCTGGGCGCCGGTGGCTCACGCCTGTCATCCTAGTTACGCTGGAGGCTGAGATCTGAGGATCATGGTTCAAAGTCAGCCCAGGCAGGAAAAGTCTATGAGACTCTCATCTCCACTGAACCACCAGAAAACTGGAAGTGGCGCTGTGGCTCAAGGGGTAGAGAGCTAGCTAGTCTTGAGCTGAAGAGCTGAGGGATAGCGCCTAGGTTCTGAGTTCAAGCCCCATGACTGACAAAAAAAAAAAAGAAAAATGAATTACAGTGCATTGTGTTGAAATAAGTTGCAGTTGGATCTGATTTTTTGTGTGTGTGTTGTCCTTTACAGGGGCTTTGATTTATTTATTAGATATGTTCTGCAATTCAACACATCCACAGGTTCGAGCCCAAACAGCAGAACTTTTTGCCAAGATGACAGCGGATAAACTGATTGGTCCAAAGGTGAGCACAGAATAAGTTCTAGGAAGAAACTTTGTTAAACCTTTTAACTTTGGAAATGTTTCATAAAGTTTGTCTGCGATATTAAGGCTGAGGAAATGATTGGAAGATCGACACACTGAAACTTGCTACATGTGTCTATATTAGTGTTTGTGAAAACGAATCGGGGAAGCCTGTGCCCAAATTGAGAAGTTGTAAGAGTGTGTGTAAAGTACAATGGTAAACTCTTCATCTCCTCCGTAGGGAGAAAATAATTTCAGGTTACAACCGAAGATAGGCTAGACATTCCCATCCAAAGATTGGCCTGTGTCAGTAGCTACCAAAGGCATTAGTGATCATTATATGATTTGTATCCTTTTTTTTTTTTTTTTTTTTGGGTCCGGTCATGGGGCCTGAACTCTGGGCCTGGGTGCTGTCCCTCAGCTCTTCAGCTCAAGGCTAGCACTCTACCACTTGAGCCATAGC